GGCCAGACACAGTGGCTCACGCCTGTCATCCCAACACTTTGGGAGGCCAAGGCAGGCAGATCATGAGGTCAGGAGTTTGAGACCAGCCTGACCAACATGGTGAAACTCTGTCTCTACTACAAATACAAAAATTAGCCAGGCATGGTGGTGCACGCCTATAATCCCAGCTACTCAGGAGGCTGAGGCAGTCTGAGAATCGCTTGAACCTGGGAGGTCGAGTTTGCAGTGAGCCAAAGGATCCTGCCTCTGCACTCTAGCCTGGATGACAGAGCAAAATTCCATCTCAAACAAACAAGCAAAGAGTGTTCATTCTAATATTTAGTCCTAGAGCCTAAAGGGAGTACAATCTTTATTATAGTTAACGTGATGTAGAGTAGTAGCTCTTTTCTGAAAAACTTTGTATGCCTTAGAGTAGGTATTTAGGACCCAAGTTTTACTTCTCGTTTTGCCTCTCTATTAACTGTATGCTTTTAAAGTTTTCCTTAAAATTCTCTAATCAGTGTCCTCAATTGTAAAATGAAACTGATAAAACTATACTGTAAAGGTTATTGTGCTGCTCTCAATAATGAGTAAGCATTATTCTGATCGTGATGTTTTACTAGGCTTGGGATATTGTCCCCTTGAATCTTTTTCCACAGATTTCTTAAAGTACCAGGAACAGAAAAGGACTGCCAATGTATACTTTGGTATGGATCAGAACGGGCGATCTAAATAGAGGCAGAGAAAAAGCTAGAATTGGGGCACCACAGAAAATAAGAGCCACACTTATTTAATAGTTGACCACTGTCTTGATTTTTTTAAATGGATTTTTGTCTTAAAAACTGCCTCATCTCTGTGGGATCCATATAATTGGATTACAATTTGGTCCTAATTCTTACGGTTTCTTTTTTTTTTTTTTTTTGAGACGGAGTTTCGCTCTTGTTACCCAGGCTGGAGTGCAATGGCACGATCTCGGCTCACCGCAACCTCTGCCTCCTGGGCTCAGGCAATTCTCCTGCCTCAGCCTCCTAAATAGCTGGGATTACAGGCACACGCCACCACGCCCAGCTAGTTTTTTGTATTTTTAGTAGAGACGGGGTTTCACTGTGTTGACCAGGATGGTCTCGATCTCTCGACCTCATGATCCACCCGCCTCGGCCTCCCAAAGTGCTGGGATTACAGGCTGAGCCACCGCGCCCGGCCAATTCTTACAGTTTCTAGTCTTAGGCCAGCCACACATATTTAAATGCATTTCTTTTGTCTCAGTCTATCCATTTGTCTGTCCCTTGATTTAGTTAGTTAGGTCCAGACAAATCTAAGCAAACCATTGGGTCAACACTGAGATTCTAGAAGAGAAGTACAGCTCCTCTATTTAAAGAATATACGGTTCATGAAAGTTAGATATTCTCTCCCTTTCTCAGTATTTAAGATGATAGTGGAAGGACAAGAGAGAATATAATCCTCAGGTGATGAATTATTTGGATCATATGGCCAAAATGTGTTCCTTTTTTTGTTTTTTTGAAACAATTCAGGGGGAAGAGAGAGGAATAAACATAAATTAGGTGATAAGCATATCCAAATCACTCATCATCCTCAAAGTCAGTGCATACATGGCTCAAAGAATCTCTGATTTCATGAACTCCCTTGACCGTGCTGTGAATAGTATTCATGTGTTGTGTCATGTAATATTCAGTGTATTAGTACAGTGCTTCCAGTCTTTCTCACATCACGGCACACATAGAAAATGGTAATATTTTTATCACCCACCAAGGTAAATAGACAAGGCAGCTTGTAGCCAGATACCAGCCTAGGGATTCTGCTGCCTCAGCCTTGTTCAGCATCCAGAAAGTGAATGGAATTAGTATCTCTACACACCTGCAATGTGCTTGCACTATCAGATACACTACAGTTTGTACACTCTGCATTAGATTACCCCCAGATTGTACATTCTTTGCTGACCCAGAGCCTTGCTAATTTTTTTTCTTATGAATAGTTCAAGCATATTAGTTGTAGAGGCTACATGACATGTTTTAGTAAGGCAACGTGTGCTATTTAGAGCATCCCAAAGGAAAACATTGGAATAAAAAAGTACCATCAGTTGAAGACAGCTTTTTATAATGAAAATAGGCTGACTTAGGAATTGGGAGTCCTGGGCTTCAATGCTAACTTAGTCACCTTTGACAAATCACTTCTCTGAGCCTCAGTTTCCTTATCTTTGAATTGAAGAAGTTTGAACAAGATAAACTTTAAGCTGCCCTCTATCTCTAAGCCATGATTTTGTATTGTCTATTAGTCTTTGCTGCTGAGTCAGCTGTTTGCATGCAGTGTTTGCTATGTGCTAGCCACAGGATAAATGGCCTCTTATATATGCCCTAGGGTCATCTTTGTGGGGTCCTCAGATCAAAAGTTACTGCTTTGATGCTGGAGGAATTCAAAAAGAAATAGGACACTTAATGAAGAAAAGAGAATAGGCATTGGAGAGGGTATCTGAAAGGAATGAAGCAGGCCATAATAATTTAGTCTTTCAGATGTTTATGGATATCTTTGAAATACTGTGGCTGGCAACTCTGGAAACCTTGACCTCTGAGGGTAAGTGTTCCTAACTCTCATTTCTAGAAACACTTATTGCAGATATGTCAGCTATCCAAGCATATACACAGAGGCCAAATCTTGGTTGTCTGACTTGGTGGGAAAAAAAGTTAGTCTAAAGAATCTCTTTAGGAACTTTCTTTTCCCATAGTTATCCAAGTCCTTTCTGTCTAGCCATATATTGGGTGGAGGAGACTACTAAGCTGAAGAGTAGCAGAGATGATATGTAGGAATGACTGGATAATCATACTTGATCTAGCTCCATTATGGTGACAGTCATTTGCCTTGTATAATAAAAGAGTAGCATTTGTTCATCTGACAAATGTTTATTGCTTATTTGCCATGTGTCAGATATTTTCCTAGGAGCTAGAAATTCAAACTTGAGTGGTTCCTGCTATAGTGAGACAGACAAACAGATATATATACAAACATATGTACATAGATACAAATTAATGATAGTGTTATCAGTCTTGGAGACTTTTTAAAAATAAAAACATTAGTAACTTTTTTATAATGTTGAAAACATATAAATAAACTCTCCCTTTCTTCCTATTTTCATCAGGAAACATTTATTATGGATCAGATACATTAAAAAGAGGAAAAAAAACTAGATCATGCATTTATATTTCAAAACAAATTCCAAGTAAATAAAAATTAATTAAACCAATAATATCTCTTAAGGATACAGGGTGTTTCTTTTTTGTTTGTCTGCTTATTTGTTTTGAGACGGAGTCTTGCTCTGTCACCCAGGCTGGAGTGCAGTGGTGCAATCTCAGTTCACTGCAACCTCCGTCTCCTGGATTCAAGCAATTCTCCTGCCTCAGCCTCCCAAGTAGCTGGGATTACAGGCCTGCGCCACCACGCCCAGCTAATTTTTGTATTTTTAGAAGAGACGAGGTTTCACCATGTTGGCCAGGCTGATCTCGAACTGCTGACCTCAAGTGATCCATCCCCTTGGCCTCCCAAGTGCTGGGATTACAGGTGTGAACCACTGCACCGGCCAAGATATGGCATTTCTGACACATGAACAAGAAGGTATTTACATACATATATACATATGTGTTTGTGTGTGTGTGTATATATATATATATATATATATATATATATATATATATGATAAATGTATATGTATATATGTGTACATATATAATTTATATTTTTATCTTTATATATATACACATACATATATACCTCATGTATCTATGAAATGTTTGTATGTTCCCATAAAGGATAATTGAACCTAGTTGGTAAATAACCAGAAGAGGCCTGTGTTTGTGCCTGCATATATGTATGTATGTGAGTATGTGGATGTGTAGGAGGTAAGGAATGAAGGAAGGGAGAGAGGGATGGAAAGAAAAAAGGGAAAAGGAAAATAAAGGAAGGGGAAAAACAGTCAGGGGTCTTAGGAGGAACCACTGTAGTGACTAGTAATTTTTACCTTTACTCCCGCTGCCCTAATAGTCTCTGTTAAGCCCCAGTTAGTACACCGTTATTCATTCCGTCAACTGACATATCATTGAAATTGACTACTCACGCAAATAAAAGGAAAAAGAATAATTTCTGTTTCAAAATACAAAAATATCCACAGACAGTAGAAGAAATGGCACTTATGTGCTCCATCAACAGTGGTGAAGATAACTTGCTGAAAGTTCTTCCACAACAGAAAAAAAATTTAAATATCCGGAATTTTTTTTTTTCTTCACTGGGCAGAAATTCATTCCAAGAAGTACCAGCCTGTCTCATTTCAAAATGCTCCCCTTACCAAGGAAGTGGAAGTGGTCATAGTCTTTCCCACCAAACTATGGATGAATTATAATTATCCTACCTCTTGTGGGACAGTGAAGCAGCAAACATCTGCTATACTGAATCAAAAACCCCACAAATGAAACTATACCAAACTGTGAATCATACCTGGACTCAGATTAAAGGATCTGTATTGTGTTTACCTTTTTCTTTATTTTCTTGCAATCTAAAATACGGATTTGTCAACTGTAGCCCCAGATTCAAACTGAAAGGGAATATATGGATTTCATTTGCTGATTCTTGTTTGACATTGAAAATCACAGCTTTAAAGCGGATTGACAATAATATTTGTAACTGTTTTTCTTTTCGGTATATTATTCCCTCATCATTTTCTTTTTCTTTAAAAGGATGTTACAAGTTAGAAAATTTAGAAATGAGGTCCTTTAGTTTTAGTATTAGTAACAGAGGAGCAGAAAATAATATTTTAAACTTGATTTCCAAAAGACACCAGCTTCACACCTAGTATTAGTTATTGTAATTTTATGTACTATGATGTGTGTGGTAGTACTAACCTGTTCACCTAGAATAAGAAAAGGAAAATGGTACTTTGATTCTGAGTTTAAGCTGTGAAAACATATACAATAGTTTACTTGCTTTAAAAAACTTCTTTGTGTCTTTTTATCTATTAGAGAGCAGAAAGACAAACTCGAATTATGGATTCAGCTCAATATGCAGAATTCTGTGAAAGTCGACAGTTAAGTTTCTGTAAGTATGCATTTAACTTTGCTTAATTATACACATAAGAGATTTATGTTATAGATGTACTAAAGTATGACAGGATCTGTTTCTTAGAAATTGGTGGATTTAAAATATGTGTAGTTGTAACTGTTATAGAAATAACCTCTGCATTGTGGGGAGCCTACATTCTACTGCTTTGTTTTCTAACTTTTTCATCATATTTACACTAATATTTCTGATTGATTTTGATCCATAATAGACTATAATAGTAGTCATGACATTTAAAGGCTCCCAATATTAATTATAGATTCAAAACTTTTTCTTTATGCTTATTCGTATTACCACAAAGGAACATATCAGTGGTCTCTTCCATTTTTGTCTAACCTCCTACTGTGGCATGTATTCAGTGTTAGCCAAATTTATTAGTACATGCTCTAGTAACACCAGTAACCTCATGGTAAAATTAGCACTTTCACATCACTGCACATCAGCTCATTAAAAGTGTTTAACAACTCATAATAGCGAGCTACAATTGTGTAGCAAAACACCCTTACAGCAAAGTTTCAGTTATGACTAAGGCTCTCGGGGTAAAGGTCAAAGAAGAAAGTGTGATGAAAAGTCCAGTTAAAAATATGACAAAGTAGCACATGACCGTGGTAGAAACAATTATAGAAACAATGATGTCTTTAAATGAAAAGCTATTATGTGGTCACAATAACAGCATATTTGATTTGGAAAAAGAAAGGGAGAGCTTCATTTATAGATTATAAAGTGCAAATAAATGACACATTTCAAATAGTATCCCATGTAAATGTCAGTAAAATATAGGAAAACATGTTTTGGAAGGTTTTTTTTTCTAACTAAATATACTTTCCAATTTGACTAACAACTTGGCATCATACATCTGTGAAGCATTAAGTAAATGGCACTTCAGATCATGGCAATTTCAGCAAATGAAAGGTTTTATATTGTAATTTTTAGGTTTAAAAATGGCATTCAAGTCTTTATAAGTATGAACCTCCAGTTTATAAAGTATCATTTAGTGCAATTGAACTATTTTTTTAAATCATATTTTAAATTTAATTCTCTTAAAGGAACAGACATACTACTTTAACACTAAAACTCCTAGACTTAGAGTCTCCTAATATACCTTCTCTTTGAAAATCAGATTTTCACTTCATGTTTTTTGTTTGTTTGTTTGTTTTGTTTGTTATTATTGGTATTTTGGGCTGGAGTCTCACTTTGTTGCCCGGTCTGCAGTGCAGTGGAGTGATCTCGGCTCACTGCAGCCTCTGCTTCCTGGTTTCAAGTGAGTCTCTTGCCACAGCCTCCCGAGTAGCTGGGACTACAGGCGTGCGTTACCACGCCCAGCTAATTTTTATATTTTTAGTGGAAATGGGTTTCACTATGTTGGCCAGGCTGGTCTTGAACTCCTGACCTCAGGTGATCCACCGCCTCGGCCTCCCAGGGTGTTATGATTACAGGTGTGAGCCATGTCACCTCACTCATGTTTTGTTTTTAACTCAACAATAAACTATAGTAAATTTAAAAATAATATTTTCCCTTTCTGTATAAAAAACACTACAGTATAAACAGTATATTGTGCTTGGTTTTCTTTAGAGTGGAAGGATTTGGTCATTTATAACTATTTATATGGTGCCCAGAGCTGCTTTATTATCAAATCTTGGTGGGGAATCTGTTTTATATGACAGAATACTGTGGTTCAGAAAGGTTTAATCCACATGGGTCAGCAAATTCAGAAGCTGTTCCTGCACTCGTCAGAGTGTTAGGCTTTTTTCCTTCTTCTCCTTCTAGTAAGTTACCAAGATACAGGAATTGTGGTTCTGCCATATGTATCTTCTTAAGTATTTGATCATAGCCATCCCTGGAATTACAGTACATTTTAAAATAATGAGTCTGTAACCTTATAGGCTGAAGGTAAGCTGTAGCATCAACACACTAATCTAATTTACAATTCAGTCTTTTGTTTTTATATATAAGTCAGAGAGTCATTTCTCTTAAAGTCTTTTAAAATCTGATATTAATATTGACACACAAAGCTCACAGTTATAATTAAAGAATAATTATAATTTAAATCATTAAAATTTATAATTAGAATATATAATTGGTAAATTATTTTCCAGTCTTTTACTTTCAACTTTTTATTTTATGTTTGGTTTTATCCAGATTTTCTTTTTAATCAATCAGAGAGGCTCTGTGTATATTAATTGATTAGTTTAATTTATATGTATTTCCTTACTGATACATTTGGGTTTGTATATGCTGTCTTGTGTTTTAAATTTACTGTGCTTTTAAATTTGTTTTTTCTCCTGGTTTTCTATGTTGTATTAGATTGATTGGTAAAAGTGATAAGTATTTAAACTTTCTGTCTTGGCCTAATTTCATTTTTTCCTGCAGCTCTGTGCATGGTTAAAACACTTATATTTGTCTTAAATAGCTTCATTTTGCCCCTATACTTAAATGATTGTTTAGTTGGGTCGGAAGTTGTAAGCTCGTAGTTACTTACTAAAACATAATTCCCTTGTCGTTTGGCCCCTGTTGTTAGTAGAAGTTTTCTGTCGGTCTGCTTGTTATGTATCTTCCCTGGGGACAAAACTAAGAGAATGAAGATATTGGTTCCAGGTCCCCCATTATATGGGAAAATAAACACACTGGCCAACAGTAGTTGCCCATAAATATGTATAAAGGAAAGGAATAAGGTACTCCTGCTAGGCAAGGTTCTGGGGAAAACCATGCCCTCTGAAGAAGGCTATTTTTAACTAGGATGAAGTTGCAGAGTAGTTTCTTTGAGTGGAATGAGCATTCCAGAGGATCCTAAGGGAAGGATTGGAAGTGGAAAGACTGTTGGGAAGGGATGAGGTAGAAATCACCGAATAGTATGTAGGCGTAAGAGAATGGAATATTGCAAGAAACTTAAATGTTGTTAGTGATCATCGATAAGAAAGATAAAAAGTATGTGAGATTAACCTTAAATTTCCTATGAAAATAATCATGTAAAGTTGTTTTTTTAAGTTCAGCACAGGATGAAAATCCAGGTAGTATTAGAAAGCTGATAATCCTAGGACATTTTGACCATTGCTCAGGATTCTATTTAAATTGCTAGCCGATTTCCAGGTTATCCTTTCTCCTGATATATTGGGAAGAGGGGTGAAGGAGAATTTGTTTATTCTGAGGCCGCTCTCACCTCTTGATGAAAACAAACTGTTATAACTAGAGGTATATGTGCCTCTTTTGCTAGAACCAGCAGTACCTTGGAAGGGTCAGACTCTGAAGCCATCCTTCTCCAGGTGACAGGGAAGGAATTAGCTCAAAGAAGCTCCACCTCTTGGTGGAACAGCACTAACCCAAGTGGTTTATGGGACCTCTATGCATGTCTTTTGATGAATAAAAAAGTTTGGGCCCTACTCTTTTATTTTAAAAGTACTTTATTCATTCATTCATTTGTTTCTTCTGAAAATATTTCTTGTGAGTCTGCTAATGCCCAGGCAGTATTCTAGGTGCTAGGGATAAAGTGAGAGATATATGGTCCTTGTCCCTGCATATTCAGTGCTTACAACCTAGCAAGGAAGCTAATTCTGTTGCTTATGTGGATAGATCCGACTGAATATTAATAATGATCCTTTCCCTCACTTTTAAAATCAGCTGTTTAGAGCACAGTCACAAAAATATCTGTTTCTGTCCTAAAGATCTGTCAAGGAGAGAAGTGAATAAAGTACATCTCATTGATCTTGCCAAATTGCTGACTGTTAACTTTAACTTCAGAAGTATTCCGCAGATGATAAACAAGTGTTTGTGAGCTATTGCAGAATACTAGTTAGATGGAATGTTGCATGTCAGAAAGTATTTGGAAGATTTGTTACTTTGGGGAGATAGCTTTAAGGGGGATTATCATAATTCTGCCATATTTGACAGCTTTGGGTATCTGCTTCGATAGCAGTACTTAATGTTTTCTGTGATTTATTTGAAGGAAAACTCTTCTGTATGTGGAATCCTTGAAGATTCTGTATAGAACGATCAAAACATCCTGCTTTGAGTTACTGTTAAGTGTTTTATAGACCTGTGGGGCCACATTAATCAAAAGAATAATCAGTGGATTATAAAAAAAGATCTTGCAAATTTGATAAAATCTTCACTATCAATCTTCCCCTCTAGGTTACTAGTTAAATTAATAAGGTCTAATGAAGTCCCTATATCAAATTAGTCTCTGCTTAGCACTGTAGCAGTGCAGATATTTAACTAAAGGCTACATATGTGCTTAGTTCTGTATATGCTTGGTACTGTTACACGTTCAGAGACATAAGGCATGGTCTTCTCCCACAAAAAAATCTTGTAATATGAATTAAGAAATTATAAACATTTGTGAAAGAAGATCTGATGAGATCAGTGTTCAATAAATGGCTAGAGTGGGGAAGTATACCTTTGGCCTGTATGATCAAGATTCATATGAATGAAGAAGGGTGAAGCGAGTGCATTCCGTGGAAGGAAAGGAGTAGGGGTAGACACACAGAGCATAAGACTCAAGGCCAGGTGATGGCTTAATAGAGAAATATCATAAAGGCTGTTTGGAATCAGGCTGGATGGTTTTGAGAGTCAGGCTTAAGAATTTAGGCATCTTTATAATCAGAAAAAAATGTAACCACAGGCTTAGATTAGACCAGATGTCAGTTTATTTTATTTAATTTTAAATTTACAACCCTGAGCTATTCTAGTAATAGATACTTTTTTAACATATTTATCTCAGTAGGTTTTTGGGGGAACTGATGGTGCTTAGTTACATGACTAAGTTCTTTAGTAGTGATTTCTGTGATTTTGGTGCACCCATCACCCAAGCAGTGTGTACACTGTACCCAGTGTGCCGTCTTTTATCCCTCACCCACTTCCCACCCTTTTCTCTGAGTCCCTAGATTCCACTGTGTCATTCTTATGCCTTTGCATCCTCATAGACTAGCTTCCACTTGCAAGTCAGAGCATACGATATTTAGGTTTCCATCAGGTGAAGGCAGGGTTAGGCATTTCTGAGCTCAGACTTTTCTTGGGCGAGGCTTGCTGTGGCTGCTGTGGGGGATGAGGGTGTGGCTCCTAGACCAATGCAGTTATGTTCCTAAGGGGATTATGGCTGCCTCTGTTGCCTCATGCAGGGATCCAGGGAAGTGGAGGAAAGCAAGCAGCCATAGGCCTCACCCAGCTTCCATGCAGCCCACAGCCCAAAGACGATACTCACTCCCATCATCTCTGCTACCACCGCTTAATGTAAATTAAGGTTACATCAGACAAGTACATTTCTGACACTTGTTGTAACATCAGCTATAGCCAATGGTAAAGATGACACAATGTGAAAAGTATTAAACATTAAATGGTTTTATATGCTATGTCATATAGCATAGTTATAAACTAAAAGATCCAAATGCATAAGAAAGTTGTTTAAAACAACCATTGTGTTGCTTTATAGCTGAGAGTTAAAACTTGGATTTCTTGGGGCCATAGTATCTAGACGTTAATAAAAGTTCAAACACATTGCATTTTATGTGCATTATTTTTTGTATACAGTTCTGAGTATATATATTTTTCATTTTGTGATAGTAATGTGTAGTATTTTAAAACACTTTAAAAATTAAAACGTCTACACTTGTTTTTTTAATGGCTAGCCAAAAAAGCTTCCAAATTCCGAGACTGGTTGGACTGCAGCAGTATGGAGATAAAACCCAATGTCGTCGCTATGGAAATTTTAGCATATTTAGCGTATGAAACTGTGGCACAGGTAAGAATTCTAATCTGTCATATTGGGCCACGCAGGCTGGGTGTTTTTCTTTATCTTTGTCCATGATCAATTATTCTACCTGTTGCTCTAACAGGAATAACAGCCATGAATTCTCTCCTGCGACATTTACATCATTGTCTAAAATTTAGTTAAGTTTTGTGTCTCTACATCCTCAATTCGAGTGGGTGTTTGGATAAAAAAGACAGTTTCTTTTATCCTAATGAGAAATGGAATCCCTGCATACTTTTTCTTGGCATTGAACTCTTTAAGTACACATCTGCCTTATTGAGAGATTATTTTTGAGCTTTAAAAAACACCTTTCTACATATGTGAGCTCTTATGAATGCTTACCAAATTCTGGGTCTGAAATCACTGCCCTCTAAAAGACTTTCTCAAGATGTGGTCTATAGATCACAAGCATCAGCATCTCCTTAGTTCTTGTTTAAAATGCAAACTTTGGCCTGGCGTGGTTGCTCATGCCTTTAATACCAGTATTTTGGGAGGCCAAGGTGGGTGGATCACCTGAGGTCAGGAGTTCAAGACCAGCCTGGTCAACATGGTGAAACCACGTCTCTACTAAAAATACAAAAAAAAAAAAAAAAAAAAAGAAAAAGAAAAAAAGAAAATTAGCCAGGGGTGTTGGCGGGCACCTGTAGTCCCAGCTATTCTGGGAGGCTGAGGCAGGAGAATTGCTTGAATGCGGGAGGCAGAGGTTACAGTGAGCCAAGATCGTGTTATTGCACTCCAATCTGGGCAACAAGAGCAAAACTCTGTTTCAAAAAAAATAAAATAAAATAAAATGCAAATTCCTAGACTATACACTTAAAACAGACCTACTGAATTAAAATCTCCGGACTTACAGCACAGAAATCTGCCCTAGTGATTATGAAATAAATTTTGAGAACTACTCTCCTATAAGGTCAGAATATTTCATGTGTATTCATGACTAGGTCCATTCACCAGTCAATGAAAGTGTGTGCTCCTGTCTACAATATAGATTATTAGGCACAGGATTATCAGTAACATTTAGAATGTATTGCCTTTAGGTTTGCCACTTCAGTGGCTTTCATGATTATTTCTAGCCATGTGACTTCATTTCATTGTTCTGGTCTTCTAGTTAGTGGATCTGGCTCTTCTTGTGAGGCAAGACATGGTAACTAAGGCAGGGGACCCCTTCAGCCATGCCATTTCTGCAACCTTCATTCAGTATCACAACTCTGCTGAGGTAAGTACAAAAAAAAAAATCTGTCTTTAACACGTGTGAATTTTGTCACAAATCTGGTATTTACATTAGCAGTTATTTTAAAAAGATTATGCAGGAATGAATAGCCTTCAAAGAATCTTAATACATTAAATATTCAAATAAGTATTTAACTGAGAACCTACTATGTGCGAGGCCCTGACAGTCCACTTAAGACAATGATTTTTTCACTTTTTCTTGCTTCGCTTAGCTTTCCTAACCCATCAATGAAAGGGGTGGTTACAGGGCATTTCTTATTTCCATGGGAGATGAAAAACTGGTTTAGTTAATGTTGGAAAAGTCATTTATTTCTTTGTACCTCAAAAGATAAGAGTGTTATTATTCACATCACATAATTATTCCTGGAATGTATTGATGTCTTTTCATTTCAATTATTGATTCATCTGTAAACATGATTTAAAGAACCTTGTCTTCATTGATCTTCAGTTTTTACATTGCCCTTGCTATGTGAAATTATATTCCTTTCTGATCTGGTTTTGCTACAGGAACTGTAAAGCTTTCTTGCCAGTTTTAAGGCTTTGTATAAGAACTGTGCACCACTGTTAGCATACAGAATATCCTCTGTAAACAGCATCTACCTAAAAACCAGCCATGTATTACAATATGTTGAATATATTTGCCAATATTTGACTCTTTTCACTAACAAAAACAGCAGTTTCACACAATTCAATCTAATATCCATAGATAAGACAACAAGAAGATTAAGTTAGCATCTACATGTAGAATTGTGAAGTAAGTTTTGGATCAAGTTGGTTGAAATGTATAACCTGAAAATGGCTAAGCTCTATACCTTAATTTACACAGTTCTACTCCTTGTTAATATCTATAGGAAAGGATGGTGGTTCAAATCAGCTCTAAGAAGTAGTTGTAATATTTTTTAGGTCACAGGCCCCTTTGAGAATCTGATGAAAACCATAAACCCTTTTTCTATAAACACATTCACAAATTTTGCCTACAGTTTCAGGTTGTTCAGAGACATTCTGAAGCCATTCTGTGGATCCAAGGGATCTATGAACCCTGTGGTCCCTAGGATTAAGTTTCTCTACTCTAGGATACTTAGAAAATATGTTCAGATATATGCCTATATAGCATATATTACAAAAGGACAATTTAACATTTTTTTATGCCCCTTGGAAAATCAAGTTGGCTTGGAAACCTAATAGGGATTAAAATGTTTATGCCCATTAAAAATCCATTTTTTCTTAGAAAAGGTCACACATCATTATTAGTCAACATACAAAGTCCCTAAAGCTTACTTAGTTGATTAATCACTATTTGTTTTCTTTATGTTACAAACCCAAATTATGATGTCAAAGAACACCCTTTAAAGTGTCTTTGATGCATGTTCACTTTATGAATATGTATATAAGTATGCTTTCCATTAACTTCAGACAAATTTGTTGTAACATTTCTAATTGAGGAAATCTACTGTGAACGTAACAAGCCTAGTTTTCTTTTAACATTCAAGTGATTACTTGCATGCCTAGGAAAACCCTTTATTTCCCCTCTTTTCTTGGTTCTCCAGGGTGGCCAAGCTGCCCTGGGCAACTGCTCAGCAACCACAGCCGCTGTTCCCAGCTACCCAGCAGTTGAGAGGAATATCCCATATGTACTGGATTTCCTGGGCTCTCTGGGAGGTGGGAACATGAGTGTCAGAAAGCCTCCTGACAAAATATGTTAATATAAGCCTCAAGCTTTTTGCTGGCTGGCAGACACCACTCCTCTCCTGTGACTGGTAGTGCAGATGAATATTCAGAGACTGGAAGTCTTCCTTCCTGCCGTTTATCACCTGACAAAATCAGCAACCAACATCAAGGGCCTGTACATCAAGTACTATACCAAACTGAGTCCAAAGCGGGGCTCTGGAGACTGATGTGATCCGTGTTCAGGGAGACAGAACATTTTGTAAAACAAATAAGCAAATAAATGAACAAACAATTTAAGATGACATACACTAGTTTTCAAATGAGTGACTCAGACAGAAAGTACAGAAGTTAAAAAAAAAAAAAACCCTCTAGTTATATTCAAGGACTTTAAAGAGAAAGCTGAGTGTTAAAGGAAAAAATAGGACTATGATTATGATAATACTCTAGGACTCAAAGGCAGCAGAAGTACCATTGTACAAGGGAGAAAAAACACTGTTCAAAATATTCAGGGATTAAGGTCTATTAAAGAGGAATCATTGACAGTTGGATTAGAAAAGTAGACTCCTATTATATAGAGTTTTAGACTTCTAGAGTTAGAGAGGAATGGTTGATAGTTTCTTGGCTGTAGGATGATGAGTTCAAAAGGGTGTTTTTAAGATCCAAATGGTAGTGTCATGTACAATGGATTAGAATTGGAAAACTCAAGATGCAGGGTTAATACACAGTACATTGTATTTTAAGGGGTATCATTCTTGAGCACTAATCATGTAAGGAACTGGACTGGTTACGCTTAAGTTCTTACTGGATTAGCAAGTTTAACATTAATTGAAGTTAACTTTCTAGAGTTTCTATGTTGCCCAGGCTGAAGTGCCGTGGCTGTTCACAGGCATGTTCATAGTGCACTACAGCCTTGATCGGCCTCAAGCTATCTCTCTGCCTCAGCCTCCCATGTAGCTGGGACTATAGGCGTACCACTATGCTCAGCTATTTTTTTTTAAATACATTATGAAGAATTGTGGGCCAGTAGTGCAATTGGTATGATTGACAATGAGAAAAATGTAGATTAATAATACCTTACTTTAGAGTGATTTTGAGATTTCTATTTGCCTGTGAATTTCTTAAGAGCCAATATTGTGATGTGACTGATTAGGAATTTTTTTTAGTATTAATGCATCATCCTATAGATTGGACATTGACACAGTGAAGCATGTCTAAAGGAGAGTAATGGGAGAGGGGGCAGGTGTGTGGAAGGAACTGAAAAACATTTCTCGTAATAACTGCTGGGATGAACTTGAGGTGTTTGACCATTAAAGAAAAGAGGCTGTGAAATATAAGTCTTCAATATTTGAAGTATTTCTACATAAAAGATAGAACAGACTTGAATGAACATACCAGTTTATACATTCTCATTTTGGTGAATATCTGGACTGTCACCAGTTTCTGAGGTATTATGAATAAACCTGCTGTGAATATTATTGAACAAGTCTGTTAGGATAAATGCTTTCATTTTTCTTACATAGATGGCAGTGAATAAAATTGTTGGGTCATAGAGTTAGGCATGTGTTTGGTAGTTAGAGAAACCATAAGACTTTTTTTTTTTTTTAAACCAAAGAAGTTGTAGCATTTTATACTTCCACTAACAGTGTATTAGAGTTCCAGTTGCTCCACACCCTCATCAGCATTTGGCATTGTCATTTTTACTTTTAGCCATTCTGGTGTATATTTTCTGATAACAGTTTGAGTGTGTATTTCTCTGATGACTGATAATGTTGACCACTTTGTAATGTACTGATTGGCCATTTATGTGTCTTACTCTGAAAAGTGTCTCTTCAAATCCTTTACCCAATTTTTTTTGCATGTAGAAGTGCTGACTTTTTTTTTTTTACCAGTTCATTGTTCTTTACATATCTTGTGATAACAATCCTTTCTCAAACACATATTTTTCACGTTTTCCTCTCAGTTTGTGGCTTACCTGTTCATTGTCTTAGCAGTATCTTTTCATGAGAAATTTTAAATTTCTGATGAAATCTAATTTATCCAAATTTTTTCTTTTATGTTTATTGCCTTTCCGTGTCCTAAGAAACCTTTGGCTACTCCCAAGTCATCATGATATTGCCTTGTGTTTTCTACTAGAAGCTTTATCATTTTAATTTTTATATTTAGTTCTATTTATCTGGTCAAATTAAATTCCATTTATTGTATGAGTTGAAGCCAACTTCAGTTTTTACTTACTGATATCTAGTTATTACAGAACTATTTGTTGAAAGACTCTCTTTTCTCCCATTGGATTGCTTGAACAATATATCTATATGGATTTATTTCTGGAGTTTCTTTAGTGTTTCTTTGATTATAATGTAAGTCTTCAAACTCCGTTTTTTTTAAGCTTAATATAGATATGCTGTGTTCTTTGCATTTCTGTATAAATTTTAGAATCAACTTTTAGTTACTCCCAAAGAAAGCAAAAGGAAAAAGAAAAGCCGGGTGGGATTTTGAAGGGGATTAGGTTGAATGCTTACATCAGTTTGGGAAATGTTTCAGCAATACTAAATCTCACAATCCATGAACATGGATTTTCTATTTTTTATCTTTATGAAATATCTCTTTTTCTTACTGAAAATGCTTCACATTATAAAGTCTGTTTATATGATTGATTTAGACATTCCAGCCTTGTTGTGATTACTGTTTAATAATATGTATTTTTCTATCCATTTCCTTTCAGTGTATTTGTATGTTTCTGCAGGCATACTTCAGAGATATTGCAGGTCTGTTTCCATGCTGCCATTTTGAAGTGAATATTGCAATAAAGCGAGTCACACAAATTTTTTCATTTCCTGGTGCATATAAAAATTATGTTTATACTATACTGTAGTCTATAAGTCTGCAATGGCATTCTGTCTAAAAAATGTACATACCTGAATTTTAAAATATTTTATTACTTTAAAAATGTTGATTGTTATCTGAATCTTTAGCAAGTCATAATCTTTTTGCTGGTGGAGGGTTTTCTCTCCATGTTAATGGCTACTGATTGATCAGGGTGGTGGTTGCTGAAGTTTGGGGTAGCTCTGGCAATATCTTAAAACAAGACAACAGAAGTTTGCCACATTAATTGACTCTTCCTTTCTAGAAAGATTTCTGTGTAGCGTGTGATGCTGTTTGATAGCATTTACCTATAGCAGTACTTCTTTCATAATTGGAGTCAGTTCTCTCAAACCCTGACACTGCTTTATCAACTAAGTTTATGGAACTAAGTCTAAGTCCTTTGTAGTTATTTTTTTTAAATGTTTATAGCATCTTTACCAGATACAGTCGTCATCTCAA